TTTCGTTTATTACATTCATATTTTGGAGAACTGGGGGAGAATTCCTGTTATCTGGCCTAGGCGGCTGACTAGTGCGATAAGCGAAAGAATGCAAGGGCGTTGAATTAAGCGGCAGAGGAAGAAACTCTTGAGGGGCATAGTGATAAGGTTGCGTGTTCTGATTCAGTTGGTGATTGGAGGACTGCCTATTTGGCAGTTTGTGTGATGAAAATTTATGAATAGCCTGATTCCAATTGTATTTTTTAACTGCTTCTTTGTAAGCTTTGCAGCCTTTATAGTTAGCCATGTGCTCCCCACTGCAGTTAACACACTTTGGTACATTATTATGTTTAGGTTTATCACATTGCGAGTAATGATGGCTTTCTAAGCATCTCACACATCTAGGTCGCCTTCCGCAATTTGTCTGTGAATGACCGAAAGTCTGACAATTTTTGCACATGATTGAAGTTTTAGGCTCAATGCGTATTTGAACTCTGACAATGCTATATATGAACTGATTTATTCTTAAAATTGCTTTGTTATTTTCATTATCAGTTAAATCCACCGCAACAGTAGTGAACAGTTAACTTTCTCTTCCGAACAGTCTAACAACTTCTAAAACTTGAAAGTTTTTCGAAAGTTCGTTGAATATTTCCTCTAGTTTTCTAAATATTCCTAAAGTTTTTTGGGTAGGGTCCCAATATGTGTGATGCTCGATTTTCTCTTTTTCACTGAACTTTCGATATTCTCTATAGTCCTCTATTGAGTTGAATTTAATTTTTATAGTGTTTTCAAATTTAGTAGAAAAATTGTCTTTTGTAATAGCGTTTAGTTCACTGATAAATAGGGGATAGTCGAGTACTTTATGGACATAAAAGGGGGGTATTTTAATGATTGATTATTTACTTTCTTCCCTTTCGTTGGGCGAATTTTCTTCGGTTGTTTTGAAAACATTGGTACCTATTTTTAACGGGCACGTTGTACAATATTCTTTTGTTTTCGTCTGGTAGATCTACGTCCATGCGTTTCACTCTTTTACTGTTTTCATTAGAACCACTAGTTGACTGTTGACTAACTGATTGCTGCGGTGCAACACCATGCCTGTTAAAATAAGCATCGCTAGTGCTTACTGATTGAATGTTGGTCAGAGTCCCTTCTGGTTTTAATCTTGAAATTGTATCAATGACAGCGGAATTGTGGATGTCGATCTTCGCACATGTGTAATCATAAGAAGGGAAGAGAGAAAAAGAAGGATTTGAGAAAATTATGTACAGACTGCTCTGTCCTCAAAAGGGATCCGAGGCCGTTCATAAACATAGGCGGCTTTATCATTAGCGAACAAGTCTGTATGCATCAATGAAAAATATCAAAAATCTTCACTGGTATCATCTTCCTTTCCCTTTTAGATATTTAACTGAACTTGACACAGGAATCTCCACATCCACAGATGCCAAAAATAGATATCAGAAGCTAAAATATGCAAAATTAAAATCTGGTAAAATAACTGCTGAAGTACAATTAAGTGATTCCTATTGTTTAAATTCATAAAATCGTAAGAACAAAACAAAGACATTTTGCCAAACTTCTGGCCTCTAGTAACAAAATGAAGAAGGAAGAAATTTAATTGCATTAGTATTAGCAAAGAAAATTAAGCATAGGTAATTGCTTGGCAGATATTTCGACGGTCATTCTTTAAACCAAGGAACAAAAAATGTTACTGCTTGTGGATTATTAGCAGTTCTATTGTGAAAAAATTTCACATATGTTACAACACATTAATATTAATTACCTTGGAACTCCTTAATATTTTATAATAATCTGATTTCTTTTCAATTTAAGTGGCTTGAAATATTGTGCAACTTATAAAGGCAATGGAGAATTATAAATATTTTTTAAACTGTCAAAAATATACGAAGTAGTAATCGTGTCACTATGTTAATAACTTTAAGATCAGGGTGTCCTTTTCTTGTTTTTGGACGATCAAAGTTAAACATTTTCAAAAAATGTTATATTAAAATAAGAAAAGTTAAAAAAAAAAATTGTACCATCACTATCCAAAGAGAATACCCTAGTGTTAAAATTATAAATATTTTTATGTGTACGTGATGAATTTTTAGTGCTCCAGATTTTATTGGGTTAAGTAAAGTGGTAGCTGGTTTCAGTTATATAAACTAAAATTGAGGTATCTAGATTGAATGAAAGGTATACTTTGAAGTTAAAGCACATTTGTGATGAAAATGACATCCAAATATTTTTCAAGCAATAAGATTTATTTCTCAAAGAAAATTATATTCATTCAATTAATCATTTTGAGGTAACTGAAACTAATTGAATAGTTTTGTGAATTCTTGTATTTTTGTTAAAGTACCTATAAGAAATTAAATGAATTTCAAAATGTATGAAGTGAGAGATCCTTTAAAGTGGAAAGAGGTACACACATGATAATAAAATGAAGCTATTTAGGAACAACTGTAATAGTGGGACAAAATACAGAGTAGAATGGTACAGATGAAAATATGAAGGATGAAACATCAATGCAAATAGTATGTTTTTTATTACTCAGGCTGAAACATTTTTACTTTTCAAATGTTGCCAACCATGCTTATTTCTTTATTGATAATTCAGTTATGAAGGGTAAAAGGCTGGGGTTGGGACTCTGAAGCTCAAGACATCATATCCAGATTTTACTTCTTCCCCATTTGCCAACAGTTGTCAATATTTTTTCATAATAAATATATCAAAATTGAATTAAATTAACAAAAAAAATAAAATTGCTATTTAAAAAAACTTTACGGCATTTTTTTTTCAATTGGTCATCAGATGATGTGCAATTCCTCATGATAAAAAGTTGATTTTTAAACAGGTTTCCAATGATTTTGATATTTTACATAAAAATTTGTTAATGACAAATCATTTCTTATTTATATGTAAGATACGGGTATGTTTTTATAAATCTCCAAGTCAACAGAGTAACCCATGTCTGCTTTATAGTTAAGATAGTAATAAAGTATTATGAAGTCATAGAATGTTCTTGTTGTGTAGTAGTGAAAATCAATACACCCAATGTTTGCATAGAAAAGCATTTTCAACAGCAAAAGTATTTATTTATAATCTTAAAATCATATTATTAGAGCTAATGCGATTGTGCTTCTTAATTCCAGAGACCTCATTTTTTTTCTTTTTTGGGAATTCTGAATAAAGAATTATCTTAAAGATACAATAGTTTATGTGGTATTTCATTGTCATATTTACAGGATCATGCAGTGTACAGAATTTAAATAATCTTCACTTGTTTTTTTAAACTGTCACTGATATTATTAACTCTTCAGTGAAATCATTAATAATATTCTGTATGTAAATTACTAGTCTTGTTATTTATCTTGTATTATTACTCTTTATATTTCAATTGCAGAAAAGTAAATAATTTGAACATATTAACTATCGATGATAAAAGTATAAAACTGATTAATTATTGTAAGATTGGAGGGAGTTATTATAAACAGTTGTGGTGAAAGATTATATTCTGAAACCTCCTTACATATTATGAATAATTGGAAGACCGGTTGAGGTAATTCACATTACAGAGGAACCATTATAACATTAATAATTAAGTGTAGCATAAACATGAATGTAATATACACAAAACATTAACATTACAACCCAACTATTAACATCATGGTTTCACTGCAATGTGAAGTATCCAATAGATTTTGCATTTATTCATATTATAAACAGTTGCAAATTATAGCTGAGATGAGAAAGGGAATGGGAGTTCCTTGTATTTGTTGCCAGAAGTTAAGACGATATTGGAAACTAACATTATGATAACCAAGAATTTCTAGCACATTGAGATGAAATTGCTTAGTTGAAAGTATTAAAGAGCAGGTAGATTATTAAAATAACCAATCTTGATTTTGGAAATAATTAGTGAATTGTATTTATTGCTGTTGTTGTTATCATTATTAACATTAATAATATTCATAATAATGAAATAAAGACAACACCTTTCCTGCCATACAAAAGGTAATTTCTGTAACTATTTCCATCGCAAAAACGAATTTCAAAAAATAATGTATACTATTTTAGTACTTTCTAAAAGTTTGTCTTTTAACTCTTTCTACTGGACAGCAAATTAACAGCTTATTAGTTATAATTGTGTATTACATGAAACTGGGAATAATAAATTACACTTAACGAATTAAAAAATAATTACTGAAATTAGCATTGACATCTTTCACTCAAGAACGCACTGTATGTGTCTATTTTGTGGTAGAGATACTGTAAAATTTATTTTCATGGCATTACATTTATTTCTCTAACATTCATGTTTTGAGTGTAATTAGGAAAATAATACTGTTTACTATATTAGGATAAAAAATCTGCTTCAGTATTTGAAATGATGAACAAGTGTTGATCTGCATATACTACGTTCACTCCCATTATAAGAACTGCATTTATGGATTAATGGGTCAATCTAGCAAACCAGGAGCCGAAGAGAGGAAACAATAAATTGGAATTAAAAGAACTGAGGCATGAAATACATCCAGAGGATTATTTCAGAGAAACGTGAATGAATGCAACAATCTCAATGTGCAAAAATATTCTGAAATGTTTGCTAGAACAATGTTACCAACTCGAATCCAATCTCTGAACCCCTCTTATTTTCTAAATGTTGTACAAAATCTACTATATTCACTAATTCTGTGAAGAGAGAAAATCCAAATTGCGGGCGACGTAATTACAGAAGAGCTCTCTTCTTAACAAATTTCTCCCCGACTGCGGCCTTGACTTCGACAAGAGCAGAACGGGTCTTGGGAGGGAGGCCGTCTGAACTGGCAACGTTAAAACGCGGAGCGGAGCGTCGTCGTATCGATTTATACGATCGTTGGCAAGTAAGCTAGCCGACGGGCGAGCAGACAGGCTGGTAGACAGGCAAGCCAGCAACAACGCGCAGCACACACTGCAAAAGGCAACGTGCAGCCTACCTGTCAGGCACGCGGGCGATTTGCGGGCGAGCGTGGTGTGTTGGAAGGAAAAGACATCAGTCAAGGGAATCTGCAGTCGTAAAACGACAGTGAAGGCCATGCAAACGTGTGGCGACACATGTAGCAACAATCTTATGCCTAATAGTTGAACTCTGTGCGCGATCGGTAATTCACTGCGAGTTCAAATTTGTTGGTAAATTCTAATTACCTACTTCTCTGATACAAATTATTAATTTTTATTACCTGTGGACTTTATTCATTGTGGCATTCTAGTGAGTGGAGAAACAAGCAATATCTCTCATGATTGGTTCATTTTGGAATTTATGTCGAGCGTGCCCATCAATGCCAGTTGATAAGGTAAGTGTCAAACAGTCAATTACTATTAAACATTCTATCTTAGTACGAAAATTACTTGGGACCATAACTGTTGCGCGATATGATGAACGTCATTATTGAACACTCATCTGACTTCCAAAATATTCAAGATTCAGAAGGGATTACTTATTCTTTCCAGTTAGATAATCAGTCGAAATTTACAGATTTACAGAAATTTACAATAGAAGGTTGTCCAAACATAGTTTGACAGTAATTTGTAAATAACGTACCGAACATGAAACTCTATTTTCTACTTTTTTTCAGATTTGTGTCCTGAATCCTGTTAATTTATATGAATCAAAATAACAGCTATGAAAAATTGAAATATCTCGATTTGATTCGCTTCTGTTAAGTTGGTTTTGATTATGTCATTTTAATGTATATTCATTGTTGAACTAGAGGTCGTATCGACCGGGAGAAACTATTTCCTATGAAAAAGCGTGCGATTTTTAACACTGAATTCTTCCATTGCGACTGAAATGCTGACGTTTCTTCTACCCCAGCGACTGTCATAATGCGTATGTTCACCGTATTATGAAGAACTTTCGTAACAAACTTTTGGCAGCGACTACTATTGAATAATGTTTAGATACCATTTTTAATTAAAAAAATAGTAGTTAAAATGAAAAATGTAGTGGAATAAGGTTAAAAATTATAATGAAAGATATTTAAAAGTGTTCGAACGGATGAAAGCATTGTTCGCATGCGTATTGGCAGGTGCATTTGGAGTTTAAGTTGCTGCACATATCTTAAAATGTGGTATAACAAATGAAGTACATCAGTTGTCAACGTCCGTGCAGTTGTCATTTTACACAATGACTAATTGCAATATCCACGCGAACTTCTACTTCGACCGCTTTCTGGGAATATGTGCGATCGGCGATTCGGAGAGCCTGACAATAACATTTTTCTACGTGTGAAGGGACTTTTTCTGAATTAGTCTGAATTTGGAAACCAACATAGGTAGAACAAATATATTTCCTGAAAAACACATCGACATAGAATAAGATGCCATGAATCTTAGATTCTGTCTAACTGGTTTCACAATTTCTTAACTAGAACATGGCCGCTGTATCCTGACATTTGCCGGTTCCACAATACAAGAAGAGGATGGACGGTGGTTTGAAGAAACTAAGGATTCTCTGAGTATTTATTTTCAATTTAGTTTGATGTTTCCAATGATTCCTAATTTAGTCACTTAGGCGTTAATAGAAAACTTGAAAGATCTTTCATTACTTTCTCCAAATGTTCACGAATGTCACCTGCCGTTTGAGGATAGTGTTTCCGTTGAATAAAATAAACTGAATTAAAAGAGGATTGTTTTCCAAATTATCCTTAGCTTACTCTGTTTTTCCAAACTAAAACTGTCACGTGTCATTCACATGTACTTTCGTTTTCGTTTGTCTCGTCTATAAAATGATGCGGAAAGCGTTTTCGCGTATCTCCCACTCTCTCACAAATATTCCGTTGAGCAATTCACAACTTTCTACCTTTTTTTTCGAGGTAATAAATGTAACATTTGTAATAACTTCTACAAGACTGTTGAACATATCAATGAATTAGTGTAGTATATGTCAATTTCAATTTCACTAAAGAGCAATTGAAAAATTGCTTTTTAGTGTATATTTCACACAAGGAAATTTCGGAATAATAAAATATATTGAGGCAGCGGAATAAAATAATGCAATGCCCGGAGCCCGCATGCCCTCTGCGTGATTTCCTGTTGCAGATATGTAATTTTTTATACTTATGCGAACATGTATAAAGTGTGTAGACTATTTATTCTTAATGCCATTTCAGCTTAAAAAATAATAGTTTATTTCGAAAATTCAGGGTAATTTATGAACGAGTTAACTTGGCCCAGGACGTTCTAAGAGCCCTTAGTTTATCACTTCGAGTTTATTAAGGCACGTGATTACAGAATCACTTATGATCAAATTCAAATTTGTCTGTTTCATATTATTTCTTCATTATAAATGAAATTTTGCTATTCTTGAAAATCTCTCTTAAGCTCACAATGTTCTTGCACTAAGACAAGAAGTTTTTAATCCGTTACAAATGTCGTTAATTAAATGCAATAATTTAATGTCCCCAAAATTATTTTTAACATGTTGAATGAATTTTTAGCTTGCTTAAACTCACTTTGATGCCAAAGTTCGTACATTCAGTAAATGCCCAGTAAATGCTACTTGTATACATATATACCAGTGCAATAATACATATATACCAGTGCAATATTTTGAAAATATTTCTTACTGGCTCAAGATATTATTTTATCATCAATTGCATTTTCTATAAAGCGACAACTTTTCTATAATGACGGTATTGTATTTAATGAGCGATGTGTCTCGAGTTAGTTCAGTATCTTCACGTACTCTTCATGTTTTATCGAAAAAACTAGTTAAAGAGACACGGATTAAAATGTATTAACTCCTGGATAAAATTTTTGGAGTGGTCGTATAATTGGAATCAACATTTTCGAATTGTTTTCACCACGTTTAAAATTTTTTTAATATTAAATAATGTCAAATCAAAATGGTAATGCATATCGCTAGTGAATGTTCAGAAAGTTTAAAGATTAAGAATTCGCTTCAAAGAAAATTTCAATGAATTTTGGAAGTAATAGTTCATCATTTATTGCTTCACAATTAAAATATATTATCTGAATAATTTACTGACTTCATTTGCAAATAATACTATATAATTTAGATAAAAAAAAATTGGCGTGCAATTGTGTTTTGGCGAAAGATAGGCGTGTATAATAAATTAACGTCTAATGCTATCTTATACGTATTTACACGCTTTAGGAATACGATTTTAACGAAAGAACGAAACGTGTAACAATAATTTTTATTCTTTTGAGTAGGAAGACATCGGGGGACCCGAAGCAACATCCTCGAACATCGCCCTCTCTTTATTGTTTCCTCAACAATAACAACTCTATTACAGTTAGGTCTGATACTTTTGTCAAAACACTTTAATCCAATGAAAAAGTTTTAGATAAATGTCTCGATGTGTGCTATTATAATGATTTCACACCTGTTTAATCGTCTTAAGAAATTAAAATATAAATTGTAATGTGAAAATATAAATACCGTTTACGAAATTTAATTTTTCAATTTTTTAAAATAAACTCTCCAATATAAAACAAATTATATCTTTTTCTCCTCACTCGGGAGTCCTCGGAGCATTGCCAAAGTTGCCCCGGTGGCAGTTATGGCCCTGCTTTTGGGAACTGAATATTTTCCGTCTTGTATAAAATGTAACGAACATATTTTTCTTAGTTCACTGGGGATAAAATTTGCATTGAATTCTACATTAATCTTTTTTAGAGCAATGTAAAATATACCTTGTGAGGACGCATACGTTGTATTCACATGTATTTTTGAAAAACAAAAATGATCAGCAATTTCACGTTCTATTACATAAAGCGCGCGCTTCTAATATCTTCCGACTCCTATCAACATCTGTTCCGGAAGTAATATTGATGGGAGGCTAGGAAGTAGTGCGATTTCTTTCAGAGCGCGGTGATATGCGGCAACTAGCGGACCTTCTCCGAGCCCCAGGAACGGCGCGAAGCAATCGATTGGCGAGCTTCGGGCCTGCCGCGGCTCCGCGCCAAACCCACGCAGCATTTCGCTCTAGATTTAAAGCAGAAGGGCTGTAACGCGTTTGTCTTGTCCAGAAGATTATTATCCAGAGCCCCCATCGTCGAGAAAACTAAAGGGAATATTCAAACCAATTCTTTAGACGTTAGTGAATCTGCACCTTCATGGACATGATCGCATTAAATATATATATTAAATCTGATTTAATTCACTTCCTCGACATTCATGCATTTTTAAGTGTTACAGAAGACGTGATATGTATTTCGAAAAATATCGTATCTTATATCCTATATCGAAATTTCGATATATCTGGGACTGAGACATTACGAGTATTTCAGTCTTATTTGTTCTTGTTTTATTTGAATGATCTATGAAATTTGAGTCTATCATTGTTAAGGGGACACCTTTTATTGATGGGTATCAAATGATCTTGCAACTTTCCATCTCGCAATTTTCGAATTTCTATTTACAAATCTCACATCACGTTTTTTCTCGTAATAGAGCATGCATTTATTGTGCAAAAATGAAGGTTTATAACGATTCACTATTTATAATAATTCGCCATTAACTCTTATAATTGGTAACGTGTGCATTATTCACTTTCAACACGAATCGTATTAAGACAAAGCATTTTTAACACGTTCGAACAACTACCAGTCTCTAAAAGTTGATACCAGAATAGGCATGTCGGTACACGATTGTCACTTACATTGCTGAATCCTCGAAAGTCCGAGCAAATTTTGGAGACTCGTCGCGATGATGTTCTTTCCGTCAGTGACCTCAGAGCTTTTCTTACGACGTCATTAGGCACCAGACTGACTGGACGCCGTACGATTTTCATAAGCCAGTAAAGAACAATGAAGAGATTTGAATGAAGAATTCTTCTATTAACTGCCTCTTGATTCGAAGCATTGTCTTGCTTTTGTTTGGTTTTTGAGCTCTGTATATTTAATATTCCATCTGGTTCCAAACCCCCATCCTGTGTCTTCCTTCATGCTTTGCAAAAGTGTTTTTCAAAGAGCAAACATGCGAGAAGAACACTTTGCATACTTTCAATTGCGATAATACAGAGAGCGATGGACACATCAAAAGATCTCTAAAAAAGAACCAAACTGTTTTATATTTGGTTCGGTCTATGAAAAACCCATTTGCCTCTCTCGCAGGTGAGATGGATGCAGTTTGCATGTTGTTTTGATACATGCTAGGGGCCAATGATTGGCCGCATTTTGAAGGTGCTCGCTTGCCGCAAGATTCAGAATTAGATATTTTGGTGATGGGGTCTGCCTTATTGACTGGTATCAAAATATTCGTGTTTATTATTTTAAATTAATAAAGTATTTAAAATTGACATTTTAGAATATTTACGCAGAAATT